AATGCCAGCCATCGAGATGGTGAGGATGGTACCTGGCGGTCTGTCGTGTCGTCCGATGACGAAACTCGGCGGCAGGAATCGTTCCAAACAAACCTTTGACTAAACTGTCGCTCAACGGTTGTGCGATTGTCGATTGTTTCGCAGCAATGCAACTGTTTAGTTGCACAAGTAAATATCGAGTAGTGTGCCCTCCACATTATAAGCTCATTGTAATCTTAGCGAGACTAAACAGTTGTGCTCTAGTTTAGTCAAAGGTGGCGCACTCTTAGTTTTAATTAATTGTATTAACATTTACCTGCCATGTTCTCTTACAAATGTTCGATTTGATTTGATATCCGTTAAGGGTTGTTTATGATTTATATACTTTTGTATTACTCATTTTTATGCGTCTGTATTATCATTTGTTACAGATTATAGATAAAAACGAGATGTTACTGACCTTGTTTCTCACGTAGTTTATTATTGATACAAAAGAAAGTTAATCTTTGGTTCTTTACAAGGGTGATAACTATTTATGTCTACTCATTCTAAAATGTATTGTGAGTAATCAAAGCTGTAAATCTTTTCTGCAACTACGCATTTACTATTAATATTTTCAATAGTTCATAAGGGTAAACACATAATATAACAAAACTGCAGTTTTAATAAGTTTTATTTATTCCTTTTTGAGCGCGCACACATTTCGCTTTGATTAGTTTTAGATTTTATTTAGATTACTACTTGTGCAACTATACAGTAGAATTGGCTGCGAAACAATCGACAATCGATTTTCGATTGTTTTTTTTAACATAAGATGGCAAACGAGCTTGCGGCCACCTGAATCCGCCAAAATGGCGAAGCGACCGCTGCCCATAGACATCTGCAATTGTTTCCAACTTGTGCCATAGTATAGTCAAAGATGTGCACCCTTTCTTAGTTCTTACAATGTTGCAGTGCACTGGATACGGGCAGAAACGTATCGTGGCGATCGATGTGAGGATTACGTTCACCTGAAGATCTTAGCCTGATGATGATTCCATTCTTGCCTTCGCGATATAATCGATGTTATCGAAAAGTTCTAGTGGTTATAAATAATTTTAGAATAATCGTCTTTAGAATTACATTTGTTTTTAAATATCTATGTACTTATTGCCTTGCTTTTGGTTTCAAGGGGGGGTAGGAAATATTAATAAAGACACCTTATTCCCAGGGTAATGAAGGGTTATACCCAGTAAAACCCCTTCGGTGGCCATCCTCTAGTACTAAAGATAAGGTTCTGATATCTCCGGTGGAATGCGCCTAGCAACATAAATGTTTTTTATAGTTTATGATTGCCCGTTGGTTTAAATTCAAATTTATTTTATCTTCTACCTAAAAAAATGAGATCTTTCTTCTAATTAGTTCTCATTTTATTTGAAACTGAACATAAATATCTAATATTCATGAAAGTACAAAGAGCTTTCATAATGTTTCAGTAAACCCTACAGGATACGAGACTATCAGGAGGTTAAAATGGCAAACTAAGACCAGAGATTAATTGTTCTTTTACTAAAATTGCTGTAGTCTTAATGTATAAAAGGAAGTATTTTTTTAGTAGAAGTTAAAATAAAAATAAGCACAGAGGAAGTACTTTTTTATATCAGAAAGGGGCAAACGAGCGGCGGGAACACAAAGGTGGTCAACGACGCCAATGGACCGCAACACCAGAGGAACTACAGATGCGTTGCCGGCCTTTGAGGAAATTGTAGGCTCGCTTCTAATAAACTATTTATTATAACTCTTATATTACGTTTACAAATAGATTGGCTGTACCCTTAGCTCATAAACTAGGGTTCATTCTTATGATCCAGTAATTATCTTCACTGTTACAAATTTCTATAAAATACGGTGTTATTAAAGCAATTATATTACTCTAGAGCACATGTTACAACTTCTTTTCCTAAACCTTTTCAACAGTTTGTATCTCGTTATTACCAACATCGTGTTTACCTATCGGGAATTATGTGAGCCTTAGCGACCATTTTATAGCGTCATCTAGCGACAATTTTGAGAATCACGGTTCTAAGGTCCATAAATCTATTGAATAAAATGTTAGAATAATATTATTGTTTAGACGATATTGTATGATAATGTTAATTATGTTCAAAGTTTCCTAATTTTAATGTAGGAACAACGGTTGATCAAGGGGGCGGGGTCAAGGGGTCATGACCCCCCTGAGCTGGTTGGTCAAGAGCTTGACCACGACTATGTGACCCTCCCCCCCCTAGCGCCAAAGCTGGATCCGACCTTGAGTAGTAATTTAGTGAATTTGTATAGGTGTTATTTATCCTGCATTTTATGTCACTCTAACTGTAAGAAAAACTCTTTTTTATCTTTCTCATCGCTTTATTTAATTTATTAATATGACACTTTTTTATTTATTGATTATAGATTCAATAGTAGAGATTAGTTATTAAATAATTATTGAATGAAATTTATTAAAAACATTTTACTTATAAAAACTTTTAACTTCATATTTCTGGCCTCAATTTTAATAAGGAAAATAAAAGTGGATTTCGATTTTACCAAATTTTATTATACTAACATTTTAACAAATAACTAGTTAATAATTATTTAAATACTTTTAAGTAGATTTAAAACAAATACAAAAATCTTATACTAAGTAGACACGCGTAGCGTTTCTCGTAGCGGAGTTCTACGTCAATTTCTGTAGATGTCTACGCAGCCGGAATTCCTCGGCCAATCACAAACCTGAAAGAAAACATTTTTTTTCATAAATGTATACTAAAATAAAAATATATTTTTAGCATGAATTTATCTTGTGTAACACTATCGCACAACTCTTTAGTCTCGCTTTGATTCCTATGACCTTTAATGGAAATGCGCACACAACTCGATTTTTAGTTGTGCAACTAAACAGTTGAATTGGTTGCAAAACAATCGACAATCGTTTAGTCAAAAGTGCACCCGCATATTTTTCTTATCCTGTAGGATTACATTGTTATGTAAAATTACCTGCAATTCTTTATTGAAATGCAACCAGAATGGACACCGTCTTAATTCTCTCTCGCCTCCCACACAGTAGTAGAACAAATTACAGAACTTCTCACTAGGTAACAACCAGTGTATCTCAGGATCTACTGGACATCCATTGGGAAGTAATTCAATGATTGGTTTCTCTATCTCCACTACAGTAATATTGTCATTCTCGTTTCTTTCCGTTACAGGTGTAGTCTCTGGTGCCTTGGTTACTTCTGGCTTAAATTCTTCAAGAACAATCCTATCCCCACATCTCACGAGGTCCCTCCAATCGCATTTGTTTTTAATGATACTGAAAAAGAGTCCCTTAGGACAAACCATCTCGACAGGTTTCCCGTGAGTACATTGGTAGAATTTATTGCATTCCCAATGCGGTAGTAATAATTCAATTTCCCAGTCGATTTCTTGTATCTTGGGGCAGAAGTTTATGGCGCTAGCCGCTGAAGCGACAGCAAGGAACAAGATTGCAGATATTACTGAAAAAAATATAAATTGCGTTTATTAAATGAGTTCATAACTTCTAACTTCATAACATAAAAAAGAATACACAAACTTTATATTGGTTATAGAATTAAACTAAATTAAACTTATTCAACGCAATATTAAGATAAAAAGCCTATAATGCCCGGCTATTTCAGCTACCCTTCAGTGAAATATCGGTCGAAAGCAGTCCAGTAGTTTCGGATATAACCCGGAACAAGCACGGCATGCGGACAGACAGAGAAACATTTTAATATGTGATTTTCGTTATCAGCTACTCAAATGTCTATAATCTTCCCGAAATCTGGAATTTTTCTTTTAAAATTACAAACAGACAGTCCAATTTTATTATACGTATAGAAGATATATATTTAATATTACATACCTTGCATGATTTACAAAGTTTCAATTACTATTGATGTCCAAGAAGGGCTGTATGCGATTTTATACCCTTTAATTAGTCACTGTTCAAGTCTTATAAGATTAAAACAAGATAATAAATATGGTTTATTGACTTCTATTGAGTTTTTTCTTTGTTTTCATTTTCCCTACTTACCTCTACGTTTAGCAGATTCTATTCTAGATATCGATTTTTTTTATAATACTAGATGGCAAACGAGCAAGCGGCCATCTGAATCCGCCGAAATGGTAAGCAACCGCTACCCATAAACATCCGCAATTGCAGATGCGTTGCCTACCCTTAATTGACGGAGGAGGAGACTAACATAAAGAGGACATTTCCCCTTCCTATAAGTCTCCTCTACCTTCAAATCCACTCTTCTTACTCTATGAAATTTTACTTCTTACTATATGTTATAAATGCGAAAGTTTAGATGGATGGATTTTTGTTAGAGTTTTCAGCCTAAGCGGCTGAACTGATCTCGATAAAATTTGGCATAGACCTAGACGATAATCTGAAAAAGCACATAGGTTACTTACTTTTCTTTTATAATTACACGCGGACGGAGTCGCGACAGAAAACTAGTAAATTTATAATAGCTTTGAAAGGATGTGTTGATTTCATTGTTCAATCCGATTCATTCCATTCATTCAATAAAAAACTCTATCTACTATATCGATTTATTTTTAAAGATATTGTTGTCCTTTTCTTTTCAAAAATAAGTAGTGAGACAGCATGTTTTGTCCTTGTTTTTTAATAGTAGTAACAATTCGGTAAATCAGACTAAAGAGAGAAGGTTATGTAATTAAGTATGTAAAAAAAGATAATTTTAATCTAAAATATATTTATTGCATAAACGTAAGATAAATACAATTGTAAAAATAATGTAAAATTAACAAAAATGATTATTTTTTCACATCGTACCATCGGAAAGTTCGTCTCAATCTGTTACAATTGTCAATTTGCCGCGCATTCTGCATTTCGGGGCCAATCGCACATCTGTACAAAAAATTAAAGCTATGTTAACAAACAATTTCAATTGAAAAGTATCTTGAGACTACCTATTTGGATTATAACCTATAAAAAATACTCTTTGCGCAGTCGACTTGTGTGAAAAAAATATATCCATGTGCTATTGTAGATCCCTACGTATGTATCTATGTCTTTTTAAAGGCAGATGAATCCTAAAATTTCACTGCCGAGAAAACATATGCAAAAACATGTTCTTATCTCTGATTTTCTTTGATAAATATCACAGAAAAAAAGTGTTTTAGAGCACATATAATTCACGGTTTACAATTGGTTTCAAGCCCTTAAGATTTTGATCAGATTTACTAAAAGAACATTTTGTCATAGGAATTTGAGTTTGTATTATCATGACTGTGTACTAAAATAAATGCGTGAAATAAATTATATTTACCTTAAGCCGTCTGTTGTAATGCAACCAGAAGGGACACCGTCTTAAATGTTTCTCGCCGTTGATACAAATATAAAACCAATTGCAGTACCGTTCGTGTGGTAACAACCAAATCAAATTATTGTCAGTTGGACAGCCGTTTCTTAAGAACCCTGTATGCGAGGCTTTCGAAGCGTATGGGTAGTCCTCTACTGTAACATTACTTACAGGATTCCCAGCAGGGGGCGACACTTCCGACTCCAGAAATAACTCCGAGCTATCCAAACTAAAAGAATCCGGAAGAACTCTATCACCACATTCTACAAAATCTTTCCAATCGCATATATTCTTTATAGTGCTGAAATAAAGGCCCTCCGGACATGAAATCTCTATCGGCTCCTCGTTCGTACATTGGTAGAATCTGTCGCATTTTCTGTGCGGTAAAAAAATATCTGTCTCCCAATTAGCTTCGTTTTGTTTGGGACAGACAGGCTCGTCCAAAGTTGCTGATGCTGTTGCCAGAAATACGATCGCAGTCACTGCTGATAAAACATAGAATATTATTTCATTACTTTGAATTCATAATTACTTATAATAAATCACTAGTTAAAATACCTAACATGATATCCCACCAGAATCCTATAAATTAATAAACGTGACTAAGCCTTCAATGGGGTTTTATATATGACCATTAGTCACTTTACGTCTCTTAGTTATGGATTATTGGTACTATAGCTTCACAACGTCGATCGCTTTACAATTCTTGTTATGATTTACACGCAATAAGCAAATGTCTGGTCGATGATGAATCGTAGTTTAATTGAGATGGCATGCGTGTGTTTTAACTCGTATCGACCTTGTTTTATACAATAACCCCTTGTCCAAACGCAGTACTAACACGTTGACTGCCGCTGTCTCGTCTTGAGTCACAAGTTCGTGTGAGTTAGTATGTGAATATCGAAGTGGTATTGAGCGTGTTAAGGGTTTCTCTTCATAATCACTATTGTTGCTCTTATTGAAGTTGTGTGATGAATACGAGGTTTAGTAAAGTATGAAAGCTAGCCGCGGGATCTCAGTCCATATTCGATATTCAAGATGTGACCATACTTTGCTCTTCTTAATGTATTTGTGCCTCGAGTAGCATTTCCGTGTTTAAGACAAGTAAGGTTATAATACAAGCAATCTAGTAAGTCACAATTATGTTGGTTTTTAAGTGTTTTCTAATTTTAAATACGATATATAAAAATATGTACAATTCGTAATTCAATCAATAGATTGGATTGTCCGATAAAATGTTATCTAAATCCATGTTTTAATTGTTTCCAACATTGAATGACTTCAAAGAGACCGACGTGGATTAATCTTTATGTTAGTGTCAATAGTGAACAATCGGTCATTCAACATATTGCCTAAGCACTAAAATGATTAAAAAATGTTGGGTATAATATTGTTTATGTTTAAAACTATAAAAAATCGTGTAAAAAAAATATAATACTTGCAAAGATAGCATAGATATTATAATTTAAACGTATATTCAAAATTGTGTAAATAAACTGTTATGTCTTGTTTTAGTGGAGGAGAAATTTCTCAACATTTCGTAGAGATTTTCCCAAGGTAATTTTTTAAAAGGGTTTTTTAAGCGTGAAACTGGAACGCAAACAATGCAATGGAAACGTAGAGGATGTTTGGTAAACAATACGCATTGCTAACATCTAACACTACTTTGCGGATTTTTATCATATGGTAGCAACACTTTACAGCTTACATTCATTTTAAAAAATTTTGCAAGTTTTTTAACAGTGGTTAGTCTCCAACAACTGTTAAAAAAGTTTTTTTTTAATTTACCTTACATTTCTAAGTATACCTAAATTATACAATGAACAACAAGAAAGATTTTACTGGCTGTTGCTCGCAATTTCGTCCGCGTGAAATAAAAAATGTAGCCTTTGATACTGATAACGACGCTTTTTATTGGTGCAAGATTTTTTGAAATTGGAACAGTAGTTTTTGAATTATTAGAATACATACAAAATAAAAACAAAAGTACAATTCATTCGTGTTTAGACATATATCTTTAGTATACAAATTAGTTATTTTATTGCATACGTTTTTGGTTGTTTTGTAGTGTTTTCGAAGACTTTACAGTACCATTGATTAAAGTACAAATGGGAATTTGTTGGTGACTTAAATACTTACTTTATTTATATACAATCTGTCACCCGCAAATTTGGACCAACAGTTATGCCATTTGACAGCACTGAATTTAAAAAAAAAAACCTATAAGATGCCTGTCTATATCAGCCACCCTCCAGTGTAAGTCCGCTCGAAAACGGCTCAGCCGTTTCGGAGAAAAATAAAACTGCAGTTGTTTAGTTGACCAATTACGAGTATATTTTAAATTTTGAATAAACTAAACATTATTACAAATCATTAAAGCTAATCGTAATTATCTACATTGTATTGATAATTTAGTTTAAAAAATGTGACCTGTAGACTATAAAAAGAAAATTGACAAAATTATTTCCGCATTAAAAAGCGACGTCCGGAAACGTGTTTGCTAAAGGAATTAGCACAACACGCGTTCATTGGGAGATCGCATACCTGTAAAGAAAATAAATTGTAAGAAAACTCAACAATGGTTATCGCCGACAATAAAATCTGTTGCAACACTGCGCCGGCTCGCAGAAGGCAATATTGCGATCACTAAAAAAGCAAGTTGTACTCAAACCGCGCACATTCTACTTGCCGTTGCCTCCTTTTAGTCGCTTTCCCTTCCAACACTTTTCCTTACCGTAGGGTATGTCAACCAAAAGTAACAGATTTCTCTGGATATTTCAGTGATCTGCATACCAATGAATGGCAAGCTTTTCCCCATTGGGACAACCAACACTTTCTGAAGTGTTGCTCTTTGTGTGTGTATTTGAAAATGATCACTGACTTATTACACTAGATTTAAATATAATAGTTAGGATAGGTCAAAAGATTACCTGAAGTCTGCTGTTAAAGTGCAAAGGACCAAAACATTGTTGTTCAATTTTAGCGCCGTTTACGCAGTAATAGAATTTGTTGCAATCATCCTCATGAGGCAAAAGCCAATGTACCGTCGAATCAATTGGACATCCGTTTTCTAAAAGTCCCGATTCCGGTACATCCTTGCCTGGCAAAGCGCAAATATCAATTTCCAAATCATCGTTTTCATCACCACCTTGATCTTTATCATCATCGTCATTCTCTCCACTACTAGGTTTATCATCAGGGATATTTCTATCACCACAATTTACGTTTTGCTTCCAATCGCAAATCCCAAGTTCGTGGTTAAAGAAAAGGCCATCTGCACACGACATCTCGACCGGAGTACCGAAGGTGCATTTGTAAAATTTGTTGCACATTTCATGTTCTAAAAGAACATCTTTTTCCCATGCGAATTCATCATCTTTTGGGCACTGCTTCGACGCATTGACTGCGACTAATACGGTAAAGATGACTGCTAGAACTAAAATTTTAGGTTAACATCTTTATTTCATTTTAGAATTAAGTAGAAGTAAATAATATTAAGACTGAATATAGGCTACCAGCGTAGAGGAAGATCAAAGAAAGTATGGATGGATTGTTTGAATAATAATGAAATGATATGCATAAGAAGGGGATTGATATACGGAGATAGAAATGTATAGAAAAGCAGCACATACTGTACCGACCCTCCATAGGGATACGGGATGATTGTTGCCTTGATTTTTACAAATTAAACAAAAATAATTTAACATACCTTTCATCTTTGGCGGAATGCAACTGAAGATGACATCGAGGTAAAGAAACACGATTTATACCCGAATTCGTATCATTTTTCCGAAATCAGTATTATCTTATTATATATCAATCGAAAATAAATCGATTATATCAATAAAATTTAACGATCTATCGATTAAAGATTGATATAAAAATAGTTTAAAATCAGATGACTTGTTAAGGGAGATTTAAATTACGTCCTTAAAATAACTAGTAAAATAATAATATTTTTTATCTGAAATTACTAGCTGTTGCTCGCGACTTCGCCTGCGTGAAATTAAAAAGAAATATAGCCTATGTTACTTATAGATAAATTACCTTTCTAATGTAGCTGTTGCTCGCGACTTCGCCTGCGTGAAATTAAAAAGAAATATAGCCTATGTTACTTATAGATAAATTACCTTTCTAATGGAGAAAGAATTTTTAAAATCGATCCAGTAGTTATTGAGTTATTTCAATACATACAAAAATACAAATCTTTCCCTTTTTAAATATAGATATAGATAATAAAAGAACAACTAAATAAATATTTCTATTAAAAAAAATAATAACACATTTTAACTACTTTAACTTATAATAAAAAATCAAAAGTAAATTAAACCATAAAGTTTTTTGTGTGAAAAATTTAAGTTGTCTAATCGCGATGTAGGTCAGAATACATAAGGTTTATTTTGGCAAAGTTTCCTTGCGCGGCGCCCGACAGCCCGGCGCCTTCACCCATGGAGCATGGAGACTGTTCCCAGTTGATATTCAGACGTCCCACGATCCGTATCTAACTAAAAACATCCAAAAATATGTAACATGCAAACCAAAGAAATGTATTTAAAAACCATAATAATTTTCTTTTACCTTCAATTAGTGATTATAAGTGCAAGCAAAGCTGAAAATTTGGATAACATAAAGAAAAGTCTAGAACAACATCAAAAAGAATTGACTGTGGTTAAAAATAAAACTAAAATACAAGCAAAAGAGATAACTAATGTAGTGAAAGTTCCGTTAAAGTCGGCAGTGCCTGTGGACAATGCGAGCAAGAAACCTAAAATGATATCAGTGAAACAGTACGTTTAACTAATAATTTTCCTTGTGTTTTCTGTTAGATATTAATCTAATAATTAAAAAAAAACACTCCATGCTCGTAAAATAGCCCTATTTTACATGTCTATACTAATAATTAACATTTGAAGATGCGAATTTTATACAAAGGATAGATTTGTATTTTAGGATTTTTGTATGCATTGAATTAGTTAACTCAAAAACTACTGGGCCTATTTTTAAAACCCTTGCACCATTAAGAAGCTATGTAACATAGGCTTTTTTTTACTATTTCTCTTAACGCGGACAATGTCGACAGCAACAGCTAGTAAAGATATAACACAGGATGCATTTTATATGAAAATACACCTTTATTATTAACTAGCTGTTGCTCGCGACTTCGTATGTAATTTTACATAATTGAGTCTATTTTTTCTCCCAAATCGTAAATGTAAAGCTAAATTATTAAGATTTGTAAAAGCTGGTTCGTCGATCCCTCCTGAATCAAGGAGATGACACATAAAATTCAATCTAAAGAATTTAAACAATAAATCATTCCAGACTACAAGAATGGGCGAAAGAGATATCAGATAAACTATTAGACCACGAGAGACAAATAGTAAGAAGAGATTTACTTTTAAAAGGGTTCACGAATTTGAAGAGTGTACGTCGCAATGGTACGGAGATTGTAGAACAAGCTGCTATTGCTTTAAGTGATCTTTTATCAAGAAGAGCCAAAGCCGCAGAAGCTATAATGAGGAAAGCAGAAGAATTGTCCAAGAAGAAGATTAGTACACCACCAAACTACACTTACATGCAAAGTACGGTAAGTAAAGTTACTCTACTTATAATCCTATTACTTTAAAATTGATGGATCTGTGAAAATCAGAATTAAAATCTTCCTGAATCTAAAAAAAATTAGTCAATTCTTTTAAGAATACGATTCAGGACAAGAAATGTAAATACAGTATAAGAGAGCGTACACCATTGACTAAACTATCGCACAACTGTTTAGTCTTGCTTCGAATCCTATGAGTTTATATGGAGGTGCTGATACTCGATTTTTAGTTGTGCAACTAAACAGTTGAATTGGCTGAGAAACAATCGACAATCGCACATCAGTTGTGATATAGTTTAGTCAAAAGTGCGCCCACTCTTTATACTTTTTCCTCCTGCATTTTGTCACGTAGTACTTCAACGAACAATAAATAGATATGTCTAATTCCAGATTCCATTCTTACATTTGTATGACAAATATATTTTTTTAACTTGCCAGGATCTGGATCAATACAAAAAAGAGGATACAGAATGGAAAGAAGATCGCCGTAATTTCACATTTCCTTTAAACTGTAGGAACTTAAACAAAGTGAGCTTGTATAAAAGCAAACATTTTGATGCTAACGTTTCTTTGGAGACAAGTAGCGTGCATGTTGCTGTAGAAGTTTTTGATTGCGGTAAGTATATAACTGTTTTATTTTTAGATACAACTAACGAAAGCCATTAGCAAAAGGCTCAAAGGAACCTTTTTAAAAAAAGAATCTAAACCGAAGATCGAAATTTAAAACCATTTTAAAAATGGAACGCCAAATCGTATGTTTCAAATTTATTTTCCACCAATCAAAATCATTCAATGAATTTTCCAATTCTTACAGATCCTAAAATACTTGAACATCTACACTGGTCAGAAGGTCTTATATCCACTTTTAAAGAGAACTACGCCCGCGACGCTACTTTGGATTTTCAATACATGTGCAACGCTAAAGGATTTTTACGACATTACCCAGGTATTTTCTTATGTTAGGAATCATAGAAAATGTAGCCCTTGCTTGCGACTTCGCCGGCGTGAAATTAAAAATTACAGCCTTTGTTACTCCCTTATAACGTAGCGTTTTAATGGTAAAAGAATTTTTGAAATTCGCCCAGTAGCTTTGAGTTATATCACTACATAAAAAAATACAAATCTTTCCTCTTTATAATATTAGTATAGAAAAAGTTTCCTACGTTACAACATGACTCATTGCTAGGTACATAGTACATACATTGAAACAGATTAAACTGTTTAAGACGACGAAGAAATGTCCGGGAACTCAATTAGATTTAATGTAATCAAGTTTAAAGCGCGCACACTTTTGACAAAACTATCACACAACTGTTTAGTCAAGCTTTGATTGCTATGAACGTGTATAGAGGTTCCCACAGTACTCGATTTTTAGTTGTGCAACTAAACAGTTGAATTGACTGCGAAACAATCGACAATCGCACGACAGTTTAGTCAAAATTTTGCGCCCGCTCTGAACCACTGTCTATGGTTTTATAGCAATTGTCTCTTCTAGCTGCATTATGGGACACGATGTACAAACTGAAGTTAGACGTAGAAGACATTTACGACTGTCGGCTGCGGCCCTGGTACGTCAGCGCGAGCGGCGCGCCCCGAGATATCCTCATTTTACTAGATGCGTCAGGCTCTATGACTAACTCATCCAATCTGGTGAGCAGATAAGATTACAATGACTAAAAACAATGACCTAAATGATTGTGTACTTCATAGAATTTAACCTTCGTAATATTAGTTCTAATACTTTAATTGTCCTAGATGTCGCCAGTCTTGAATAATCTACGCTTATTATTGCATTTAGCATTGAATCTAGGTTCTATGTCAAATCTATAAATGTACAGAGTAGAGAATATCAGAGAGATGAAATAATTGGTTATTACA